AATGGGCTTGGCCATGACAAAGATCATGAAGATGGTACAAGATAAGGCAAGGGTCAGACTTGTTGTTCCTAGGGTCACTATGAGTGGAAGTTGACTAAACAGCACCTAATAACATTTCTAAAAAGCACAATTGAATGTACTCATGGTGATTAATGAATGACTGAGTAAAAGAGTACATTCCGAACAGTCTACATTCCAAAGAGGCTGTTCAATATGCTGTGTACTACTGCTATGAAAACAAGACGTACGCATCACCTCAAACACTTGTAACAGGAATATCCATTTCTTTTAAAGACATCGTTGTAATTCCCTCTATAAAAGGAGTTCTTATGCCTTACTGGTTGTGCCTTTCAGTATGTTTGGCTGACTTAAGGAGCATTGGACCTCGATGTGATCTAAGTTTCAAGGCGTGTGTCTATTAGGCCTTGCCATTTGAAGGGGAGAAAAGATTCTTTACAAAGCCTATCTACCACTACTCTCACATGTCAGACCTCCTTTGCCCCAAAACCACTGGGAACAGATGCATTATTGAGCACACTAAAATGTGACAAAACATAGAAAAAAGTTCACATTTTCATTTCAATGCTAAGTAGCATTGCATGGGTTTGCAATGAAGCCACTCATACTTGATGGATTATTTTAAAATTAAAGCTGGAGCCAGTGTCCCTGCATGCTATTTTTTCCCCAATTCCAATGTTCTAATGTAGAATTCACTTAGTCTCTAATAACTCATAATAATGAAAAGATAAAAAAGCTAATTGATTGCTCCTTTTTTTTTTTTACTATTCTAAATTGAATTCAGAAAAGGATGGAAAACCCCAACAAAATGAAACAAAATTCTAAATAACGCTCCTTAGAATTCTGGTGTGTTATTTTTCATATCCACATTTGAAAATAAATACAGACAGATCTTTGGTTAGGGTTGCTGTGAGATGCTGTCAGGTCAAGTATGACTCATAGTGACCCTATGAACAAATGATCTAAACTCTGTCCTATCTTGTGCCATCCTCACATTTCCTGACACATTAGAGCCCACTATGGCAGCCCCTATTTCAGTCACTTGCTGGAGGGTCTTCCTTTCCTTTACTTACCCTCTACCTTTCTGAGAATCATGTCTTTCTCCAAGGAATAGCCCCTCCTAGTAACATGCCTGATGTATATGAGGTGAAGCATCACCATTCTTGCCATCAAAGAACACTCTGGCTGCAACCTCTCCAAGAAATATTTGTTTGTTCTTATGGCAGTTCATGGGATTCTAGCACTCTTCTCCAACACCACAGCTCAAAGACAGAAAGTCATCTTCTGTCATCTTTATTCGTTTTCCAGCTCGCAGATGCACAGAAAGTGATCAGAAACACCATGGCTTGAATCAAATGCACCTTAGTCCTCCAGCTGACATTACTCTTAGTAACTTGGAGAGATCCCTAACTGCAGACTTTCTCAGTGTAATACGTCTTCTGATTTCCTGATTTTCCATTTTCTTTCAAAAATAGCTAGAATAGTACATAGACAGGAAAATGCCAAAAGTTTAGCAGGATTTAGAAGTGGCCATGGAACCAGGGATATCATTGCTGATGTCCGATGAATCCTGGCTGAAAATAAAGAATATCCGAAGAATGTCTATTTATGTTTTATTGCCTTTGACTGTGTGTTGTTGTTGTTGTTATGTGCCATCGAGTCGCCTGCGACTCATAGCGACCCTATGTACAACAGCCCTAAACTCTGCTCTGTCCTTTGCCAATCGCACTGTCTCTGACACTCCCATCCCAATTATCCCAGTCACTGAATCAATCCACCTCATAGAGGGCCTTCCTCTCCTGCGCTGTTCCTCCACCCTCCCAAGCATGATGTCCCTCTCTAAGGACCTGTCTCTCCTCACAACATGTCCAAAGTAAGGTAGACGGAGCCTCCCGATTTAACCCTTTCCAGGACAAATCTGTTTGTTTTCCTAGCAGTCCATGGTATTCTCAATACTCTTCTCCAGCACCACAGCTCAAAGGCATCAATTCTCCTTCTATCCTCCTTGGTCATTGTCCAACTCTCTGATGCATAACAAGTGATTGCTAAAACCATGGCCTGTATCAGACGCACCTTAGTCTCCAGAGAGACACCACTGCTCTTCAGCACTTTGGAGAGGTCCCTAACAGCAGACTTTCCCATGGCAATGTGCCTTTTAATTTCCTGGCTGCTGGTGCCAAGACTGTTGACTATGGAGCCAAGCAAACTAAAGCTATGTACAATCTCAATCTCTTCACCATCCATCCTGATGCTGCCAATTGGTCCAGTGGTGAGAATCTTTGTCTTCTTGACATTGAGCCTCAATCCATATTGTAGGCTGCAGTCCTTGACCCTCTGCAGCAGGTGCTTCAGGTCCTCCTCAGTTTCAGGAAGCAGGGTTGTGTCATCTGCATAAAGCAGATTGGTGATAAATCGTCCACCAATCTTGACCCCACATTTCTCCTCATAGAGCCCAGCCTCCCGGATAATCTGTTCTGCATATAGTTTGAAAAGGTATGGAGATAGGACGTACGCCCTTCCCAATTTTGAACCATGCAGTGTTCCCTTGCTCTGTTCTGACGACTGCCTCCTGGTCCAAGTATAAGTTTCGCGTTAGAACGATCAAGTGTTCTGGGATTCCCATTCTTCTCAGAGTCAGCCATAGTTTGTTGTGATCTACACAGTCAAATGCCTTTGCATAGTCAATGAAACACAGATAGGCATGTGGATCATGAAAAATTGTGGCTGACATGGAGAAGAATGAGAATCCTAGAGCACATAATTGTGATCATGAGAAACCTCTATCTAGACCAGGAGGCTGTTGTGCAAACAGAACAAGAGAATACGAAATGACAAATTTCTAAAGAGTAAAATATTATGAGCACAACATAAAGTAGTATCTCATAAGTAGTTAAAGAATTCAGGAGTATTTATTTAGGAGAAGTTACAGGCAGACTTATTTCAAAGTCTCCCTGGGCTTAACCTATAGCACCTTCTCTGGTCTTAGCATTCATTATTCTCTGTTGTTATCTCATTAGGTTTGTTATGCTCAACAGACTATAAGCTTCATGAGGTTCAAAGGGTCTGCCTATTTCATCTGCCTCTGTATCTGCCACATCTATCAAGAGGTTTGACAAAGAGCAGAAATGTGATTTTCTTTCATTAATGGATGAGAGAGTAAAGAAAATATACAACTATGTGTAACTTAACCACTAGAATTTAATACATAATAGATTTGATGTCATATGAGAATGCAGTTTTTCTAACAGAACTATTTAGTTAGACTTGTAGTACAAGTGTTTAAGTAGTAAAGAAGCCACAGATAAACAGGACACAAACTCTGGGTCATGAGTTAGAACTAATCACCTTCAAGATTCTTGCCAACTGAGGTGTTCTGATTATAACAATCTTTCCAATATATTCCCTATAACTGAAATGAACTTACTAGCTAGCTTTTTTATGAATGGGATTTTAGAAATGACTTAAAACAAACAAACAAAATTTCTTCTTTACTTTAAAAGTCATCAAAGTTATGCTCTGTAAAAGTCTTTTCAGTTCTCACATATTTTCTACCTGACTGATATATTCACCATGTTGTGGTTGAATCAAAGGTAACTTAGGATCTGGCTTTTGGAATGTATTGCTCAGAGATGGTATTCCTTGGAAAAGGGCATCATGCTTGGAAATGTGGAGGTTCAGCAAAAGTGAGAAAAGGCCCTCAACAAGACAACTGACACACTAACTGCAGCAATGGCTCAATTGTGTCAGAGATGATGAAGAGGCCACAGGACAGGACAGGGTTCAGATATGTTGTTCATGTTGTTGTTGATGTTACGTGCCGTCGAGTTGCTTGCGATTCATAACGACCCCATGTACATCCCTAAACTCTGCTCTGTCCTGTGCCAATCGCACTGTCTCTGACACTCCCATCCCGATTATCCCAGTCACTGAATCAATCCACCTCATAGAGGGCCTTCCCCTCCTGCGCTGTCCCTCCACCCTCCCAAGCATGATGTCCTTCTCCAAGGACCGGTTTCTCCTCACAACATGTCCAAAATATGTTAGACGGAGCCTTAGAATCCTTGCCTCCAAGGAGCACCTGGTTTAACCGTTTCCAGGACGAATCTGTTTGTTTTCCTAGCAGTCCATGGTATTCTCAATAAGTCCTATTAGACTCAGTGGCTCCTAACAACAACAACAAGAACAAGGATTGACTTAGGGAGCTCTGGTGGTTTAGTGGTAAGGAATTGCACGGCCAACACAAAGGTACATGTTTTGAATCTACCAGTTGTTCTGCGTGATAAAGATGGGCAATCTCATCCCATGTGATTTGCTGCCTCTTAAAACCCACCAGAGTGTTAGCTATGGTCCTTTCTGATTTGATGATAACAACAAGAATAATAAAGAATAACTGAATAAATTCAAGCCTTGGTTCTTTCAATTAGTTTCTATGCATCTAAAGGTTGGACAATGAATTGTGGTGCTGGAGAAGTTCATATCCCATGGACTGCCAAAAGAACAAGTAAGTCTGTTTTGGTGGAAGTGCAACTGGGGTGCTCCTTCAAGGCAAGGATGGTGAAATTTTCTCTCACATACCTTGGTCATGTTAGGAGAAGCTATTCCTTTGGGGAAAGATAATCTCACCATACTGGAAAAGGTGAAGGTTCAGAGAACGAGAGAAAGGCCCTTAACAAAACGGATACAGGTAGTGACTATAACAATGGGCTCAAGCATATCAGAAATCAGGAGGATGGCACTGGATAGGGAAAAGTTCGGATCTGTTGTTTATTGGGATACTATGAGTTGTAGTCCACTTGGTGGCACCTAATACTAAAATCCTTACAAAGAAGTCTTTACCATTTTGGCTGCACAGTAGGAAAAAGCCATGTCATTAAAAAAAGAAGTGTATTTATCCTCACAACTTTATCTTTAATCACAAAAAAATCACTATACTTCATCAAATAAATATCAGCTTTTAATTGTAGGGTAGTTAAGCTACTTACCACTAAAGAATAATAAATCTTGAATCCAGGCTTAGCCACAAAGTAAATATCAGACTGGAATGTGATCTTAATTTGATTTGTGTTTGATGTTATCCTTGGAGGAACTACCTCGTTTCCACACCATCTTCCTCGAATCACAGTGCTGGTATCAGATATGTCTTCCACTTCCACAAAATCATACCTAGAACACATTTGTCGTAAATAAACATGTTTTAATTAAAGTTTAACATTCACACTTTCACCATAAAATCTGAAGTAACTTAATTTCCCAGAAGCTATCTGAAATGAGAATTAGAACCTCCAAAACAGCCCACTACCATGGAGTTAACTCCGATTTACAGTAACTCTCCATCAGGTTTGTGAGGCTGTAAGACTTAGTGAGAGCAATTTGCCCATCTTTAGCCCATAGAGAACTGCCAGAGACAAACTATCATCCAGTGAGTGGTGCAAACCCCTATTGACTAGGTCACCAGAGCTCCTTAAAAGAGAGTTCATTTTTCCAACTCAAACTTCCATAATTTATTCAGGCTTTAACTCTTTTAGCTATGATTTTTCCCATATCATCAACTGCAATGGGCTACTTCCTGAGCATCTGGCTTATAAAATTTTCCTGGAAAAATAAAGAACCGTAATCTGTTGGCACCTTTGTGTTTTTTTTTTTTTGAAAGGGTTTGTTTGTTTGTTTTTAAAAGCCGCATCTCCAGGTACATGCACATGTATTTACTACACAACATTTTTCAAGTAAATGCTCATTTTGGATTCATTAATTTATTATATGTAGGTGGACTTCCAAGTCAAAAGTACACAGTTCAAACCCATCAGCTGCTCTGAGATAGAAAGTTGAACAATCTGTTCTTGTGCAATTTATAGCCTTTGAAAACCTGCTGAAGGGTTAATTATGTGTTGTTTCTGACTTGAGGGCACATAGCAAATACACCACAACTGAGAAAGAAAAGGGTCTGTTTTGAGATTTTTAAATAATGTATATTGAACACTGTATTTATAGACAACTAACAGATATGAACATGATGTTTTATCTTCTCATTCAGGATATTGTCCTTTGGAGGATCAAATTAAATAAAAAATTTATCATGGTGAAAAGCATGCAACTTTGGGTAGGACGTATGTTAACTAAATTGGCAATATCTGGCCTGTTTAAAATGTGTGTAACAACTTAAAGCTATAGATTCATTTTAAACATCAGTGTGAGAAGCATGGATGTCTAGTGTTGAAGAAGAAAAGGAAGTCATCTTTAAATATTCTATACAAGCATTTGAATCTCGAAGACCTTTAATAATAATAATAATAATAATAATAATAATAATAATAATAATAATACATAGTTGAATATAGTCAGTGCCAGTGTTCATATTTTCTAGGGATCTTGGCTGAAAGAAAAGAATGCAAGATGATGTTTACCTGTTTACCTAAGATTTATTGATTATGCAAGGGCATTTGATTGTGTGGATTGTAAAAAATTATGGACAGCATTGTAGAGAACAGGAATTTCTGAATACTAAGTTGTGAATACTAAATTCATGTGAAACCTCTACATAAATCAAGAAGCTGCAGTATCAAGAAAAGTGTTTGTTAGGCCTACATCTTTCTATCAAATTTATTCAATCTGTGTGTTGAGCAAATACTCCAATGCAGAAGAAGAATGTGACAGTTAAATTTGAGGAAAGCTTTCTAACAACAATGAAAAAGAAAGAGTGAAGAGTATTTGAAGCACACAAAAATGGTGGTGGTGTAGAGGTAAAAAATATTGATTACATTAAGAGCTTCCAGAAGAATAAACAAATATGTGCTTGAAGAAACAGGGCCAGAATGTTTCTTAGAATTAAGAATGAAGTGACTTTGGGTCATGTACTTTGAGCATGTTATCAGGAGGAACCAATTTCTGGAAGACCTCAGTCTTGTTAAAGTAGAAGATCACTGAAAAAGAGGAAGAAAGACTTTCAACAAGATGGATTGGCATTGTGGATGCAATGATAAGCTCAAACATGGCTGTTGAGGAATGCTGGGGAGGAAGGGAGGGCCTCTGGCCAGGACAGATCGCCTAAGCTCCAGATAAGTAGCTCCCTTGTGTTTGGCTGTACTGGCTTGAGAAAACTCGCCACCTGTGAAGATAGCTGCCACATCTGTTGAGCTGGGAGTGGTCCCCATGAGGCTGAGATTATCCTGACCAATCTGCATGTCCTGCATCTGTAAACCCATCCTATCCAGTCTTCCTGTTTACATGTTCGTATATAAGTGCACTGCATATCCCAATAAAATTGAGCTGGAGTGACTCTCTGATTCTCTCTGGGGTGGTGTATCTCCTTCGTGCTTACTCAGGGTGTCGCTGTAAAGTTGCCAGCGAACTGAGAACAACAGATGGCAATTATTGTTAGTATGACACAAGACTGGGTCGTGCTTCGTTCTGTTGTGAGTAGGATGGTTATGTATCAGTGCACTTAGCAAAGGAAACACAACGAGTTATTCTATTTTTAGACCTCCAAGACTTTGCAATGTTCTACTCAATGAATGTAACTCTCTCCCTTTCAATTTTGGTCTATGTCACACTCCTCTCCCCTATTTAACATAGAAACTTTCAGAGGTTGAAGCATCAAGACCAGTTCTGGACATTCAGGGTAGGCAGAGAGAGAAGTCTATTTGTATTCATATGATTTTTATCCCTGTCATGGCTACAAAGAGAAATGAGAATGAGAAATATCAACTGTGAATATGAAATAAAGTCAGTATGAGTTTATTGGTCTTGTCCACATATCCCCATGGATTCTTACTGATTTAGTATGGTAGTGTAAAGTGTAGGTGAAAAATAATGATTTGTGACCAAATTTCTCTGGCAATGATAAACAAGGCCCTTTGCCTCAGTTTCTTTAGAGATAAAGTAAGAAGGTTTATATTACTTTAGCAGCTGTATCTCTCTTGGGTGCTGTGCAAATTAATTACTTAACGTTCATATGATGCTTGCAAGGTGAAAAGCACTAACAAAGGATCATTATTCAAGCAATAAAATATTACAATGTAAACATCAAGGAGGCTTTGGAACAGATGGTGGGAAATCAACTGCATTTCATTTTATATATAATATGTGTAAATCATATTTACTGCACAATCATGAATGCTCTTGAAACTCTGTTAATAACACAATAGGGCACTGTTACTTAAAAACATCCAAAATCAGTGTTATTTTAACTCTGGTTCTAAAGTCAAGAGAGCACCAGTTTTACTCTCAAGGAATACTTGAAGCCTTCCTTTGATCCATCTCTTTCCCATCTCTTTCTCCCCTCCCTCTATTCATTCTGAGGACCACTTGGAATTGATAAAAGGTTCAGGAATTAAACCATCTAACACATCCTCTGCTATTTTCTGGTATAGGATGCCAAAGGGCTCACTACATAAAAAGTACATCATGAATCTCAGAGTAGAACTGCAGCCTACATAGGTGGCAGCAGCTTCCTGGAAGAAGTTCTCCAGGCCCATTTTCTGGTGTACTTCTAGGAAGATTCAAGCCAAGTATTATTCCCCATACCCCAATTTCCAAAGCAGTTTTTTGCAGATCTGAGAGAGCAGTGAGAAACTCCCTCTAAAATTGGCTTCTCGTTTTAAGATTGCCTTCACCACTGACATTTTTGTTAGTAGCTGAGAGCTTGGCCAATTCACCATCAACTGGAATGGTCTAAGTGGCTCCCCAAAACAGTAACAACAAGATGCAAGCAGAACTCACTAACTACCAGGATCAAAATCTCAGTTTAGTAAAAGAGCTCAAAGCCTCAGTTTAGTAAAAAAGCTATCACTTCCTTTCTATAATATTACCTTTAAGTAGCTCGTAATAGAGTAATTTTTTCTTTTCCCCCTAAAATTCTCTTTTCCCCCTCAAGAATACAAAATATTTAGTTCCATCTTTCCTTATGCAAGATCAGCTATAGTTTATTCTCTTTGTAAATATGAACTGGCTCTTTCTGCATATATTACACTCTGCTTTCTGGCATACATTACCCTCAATGATCCTAGAAAGTAATAGTTGCTGCTGTTATTTTAGGAAAAACAGTAACATGATAAAAGCTGTCAGCACAATGAACATGCAACAAAGGACAGCCAAATTCGAGGCTCCCCTCTTTTTAAGTATTCAAAGGAAAACAAAGCTGCTGAATGGATTGAGCAGTTCAGTGGTTCATTGGCAATGCAGAACAAGCGTGTGCACTGCAGTAAAGTACAAAAAGGAGAGGGGGAAAGAAACAAACCCTCCCTAAATCTCACTCATGCTAATTAAGTGAATGAGTGCACAATTCAAAGAACAACAAGCCCGGGTTTTCTCTGATAAATATTCTAAAAAGGAAGAAGATTATCAGGCACGGCTTTCATCTTTTTTCCTGCTGTCCTAGAAACTCTGCAGCAACAGACTTTCTGAGGAGCATACAAATGCTGGAGTTGTCTTCTCCTTATCTCACATATAACTGACCCCTTAGTGTGTGATTTTTGGGGAAAAGCCCTGGCACAGGCCTTGGTCATCTTTCATTCTCAGTGCAGGAGAGGAATGGCTCTTCACCTCGTATCTGTTACTTACTGGTGTGGATTAACTCCTAGCGTTGAGCTGCTTGACACTTCTAAAGCTGACCTTTGTGTGCTGCAATATTGTGGTTAGGTTTCTGTAGTGCTTTCACATGAAGTAAGATGGACTAGGAAGTAAAGCACCATGTTCTGCTCAAGGAACTCATGCAACGAAAAAACTCTATGGCTCCCAACAGTCCATTCATGGAGATGGCAAAGGACTGGGCTGGGTTTCATTCCTGTGTGAAGGTCGCCATGAACAGAGGGCTGACTAGGCCAGGCAGGCTTTGACCTAGGTCACATGAGAACTAGAGGGCACATGGGATGTACAATGCATGTACTGGCTCACAAAGGCTGTTTTGCATGTGACAAAGACGCCAGTTGAGTGGTACTCTCCATTCTGTTTTCCTGAAGTCCTACAGCCTAACTCTGACATCCTGGAAGTGAGTTTCTGTAAGTCACAACAATTTATTTAGCCACTGGCGGCAGCAGTCTGTGAGCCAATTTATTTAGGATGCCATCTGTCTGCTAGGGCTGACATAAAGGTTCTTTGACCTGGCAGTGGTGCATCCTGGGTAGATCCACAGGTCTCAGGGAAGTTTGATGTGCTGTTTGAAATTGCCCGTCCTACTGACCTACAGACACCATTTTCTTCTTCCTCCAATCCAAACTGTTTGTCGAATACCAGTTGTATCTTTGTATTCTCTGGGGAATGGAGCTTCCATGTCAGAAGCAGGCTGCGAGGGTACGAGTCTGGGAAGCGAGGACTCTGAATGTAGCCATTTTCTGTCACCTCGATGGTTTCGTCACTGCGGTACACGTCTTTGAGGTGATTGTTCTCTGTTAGGAGTCACAATTGGTAGAAATTAGTATGCTGCTCCAATTACAGAAAAGAAGAAAAAAAAAGAACAATTTACATTTCAAGCACTTCTTGATTTTATTTGAAAACATAATGCCCAAATGTAGCTTTTTAATTAAACAAACTATCTTTCTTCCATATCTCACCACCCCTTCAGATTCTTCACAAAACTGAACGTGATCTTTATTAGTTTTTTGTGTTAGGAGCTTTCTTCAAGTTAT